GAAAAGCTTATCAGTAATCTCCACATCTAAGATGACAGCACAACCCCCATCAAAGGTTGAATGGTGACATATTTTGTCATACCTAGCTGCTATAAGCACAGTCTCCATACAGTGCCTGTGAGGGGGAGTTCTATTTAAATATGTATAAACATGTAACTATCATTTTCTAAAAACTAGATTGAAAAGAACATAGTCCCTCCACCCAAATCCAGACAAAACACTGATATGTTTTGGTGTACCTCAGTACAGTGAGAAATACTGAAAATAAATGAATTCTGCATCTTGCACTGAGTTACAGTCAAATAGTCTCATCCCTGATTTTTATTTGATAGCTCACATAGTGAAAAACAAAATTCAACATAAATTTTATACCTAACTCTTGTTACTTCTAGAGTTGTGCATGTTCTTAATTTCCTCTAATCAGAGCATCTCCCTACACCTCTCTCATTTCTTGGTGTCCTGGTTTCAGCTGGGATAGAGTTAATATTCTTTCTAGTAGCTGGTATAGTGTTATGTTTTGGTTTATGAGAAGAATGTTGATAACACACTGATGCTTTCAGTTGTGGCTAAGTAGCCTTTAGATTAAGTCAAGGATTTTTCAGCTTCTCATGCCCAGCCAGCAAGAAGGCTGAAGGGGCACAAGAAGTTGGGAGGGGGCACAGCCAGGACAGCTGACCCAAAGCGGCCAAAGGAGTATTCCATACCATGTGATATCATGCCCAGTATATAAACTGGGGGGGGGGGGTTGGCCTGGGGGGGATCGCTGCTCGGGAACTAACTGGGCATTGGTCAGCAAGCAATTGCATTGTGCATCACTTGTATATTTCAATCCTTTTATTACTGTCATTTTATTATTGTTATTACTATCATTATTAGTTTCTTCCCTTCTGTCCTATTAAACTGTTCTTATCTCAACCCACAGGTTTTACCTTTTTTTTTCTCCTGATTCTCTGTCCCATCCCACTGGGCAGGGGAGAAGTGAGCGAGCAGCTGCGGTGCTTAGTTGCTGGCTGCGGTTAAACCACGACACTTAGTAACTAATGAGCCACCACAGTAAGGGAGCAAACACACTCAGCTGTTCAGCACAGGGCTCCAACTAACAGGCAAGGGCAACAAGAGTCCCATTTTCCCTCAGGGTAGCAGCTCTTGTTGCCCCTGTGACAGACCTATCTAGAGGTCAGTTTTCACTACAAAAATCATTTTTGTACAGGTTGAAGCACTAATTAAAAAAAAAGACAAGCTCCTTTATTTCCAACTCAGTGTGCAAACCTTGCCTACTGTCTGTGGTCTGAGACCAGGGCAAAAGGGTTTGATCCAGCAACATCAGAGTCCCTAGAGCGTTATTAGGGGAAATGAGAATTATAGACAGCTCTCGAGTGGGAGCTTTGCCCACAGGTGAGTGGTATGCAGGGCTCGCTCCAAAGAACCAGCTTAGGACAAGGGAGCTGTAGCATGTATAGGGAAGGAAGAAAATAGGGGCAAGCAAGGGGAGAGGGTGCAAAAGAGAAAGGAACATACCAGCAATTTGCAGCCCTATTATCCAGCTGGCTGCTAGGGAAAGCAGCTCTGAGGCACTGGTAACCAGATAGCCCTACCCCATTCCCAGCTGGGAAATGAACCAATTGCAAATTAGAGCTGCTTTCCTTTTCTAACTCCCCAGGGAAGAGCAGCAGCTCTTTTCCAACTCCTCCCCCATCGTTGCAGCAGCCCTGCAGGTGCTCAGGATGCTATTTTCAGCCATTCACCAGCAGGTGTGACTCAAGGCCCTGTTATTTAAAAGCGTACAAAGGCTAATTTATAGTGGAAACTGTCCTTCATAATGTTCTGGCAACTTCAGTACTATGGATACAATTCACCAACTCTTCCCACTTTTCATTTCTTCCTCAATTCCCTGTTCCCTCTCAATCTAACATGCTTTATACAAGGAGTCTTATGAAGCTTCAGTATATTTGCAGAGACCAGCACTTTTGTACAGTACCAGCACCCATCTACTGCGAGGAAATACCTTCCCTCTCTGTGCCTTTCTTCTCAGCATTTTTCCTACCTACCATGACATTTCTGGGCGAAGAAGTCTACTGCTTTCAGTTGATACTGTAGATTGCTCTCATATTTGCCTTTATGCTCTTTAGGTTCAAACAACCTAACCATAAGAAGCAGAACACAGCGTACTAGACTGGAAGATATTGAGAAACCTCAGTCAAATTTTCTAGTATGAGCTCTGCAATGGAGTCTCAAAGCCAAATACCTATCTAAATATGATGCAGGTATAGCCTCAATGGAAGAGGGTATGAAAGCATCTTACTCCTTTTTTGTAGATAGTGTCAGCATTCCACTATGCTCTGATAAACTGAACTGGAAGAGGAGCCTCCATCTTTCCCCCAGTAGCATGGCCCAGCTCACTATTACATTCCTCTAGGGTACACGGACTCTGTTGATATGCTAGTACCAAATCAGTTGAAATCCATGGAAAAAAAATAATAGATGTCCCAAAATATTCTCATGCCACCTCACATGGAAAGCCAGCTAAGCAAAGTGATAGAACACATCACCTTTATGTACACTGGAGCTGTCACTAATCCACCCCAGGCAGCAGTTTTCCTAATGATTCCCATTAGCAAATCATTCTCCCAATGAGGGCATGCTTGGGGCAGCAGGAGACCTGTGCTGTCCCATTCCACCACAGACACCATTCCCAACCATGTGTGCACAGGCATCCTTACACAGCAGTAAGTTTTCACCTGCCAGAATGCAGCAAAGACATTTCAGATGAGCTAAATGTCAAGTGTCTTTATCTGTAGACTGAATGTGGTGGCTGACATAAACTGTCATGGACATATAGAATGTTTGAGGGAAAGGGGCAGGAATCACTTTAGACACACAAATTCATGCTTTGGTGATGGTTTTGGTATGCATGTGCTGTAATTAAGTATTAAATTTGTAAAATTTTACAGTGAAGGCTATGACAGCAAAAGGGATTGTACTGCTAAGTTCATTTAAGTTCCCTTTTGTCTTCCCTCCTTCCTGTTCCTGCTTCCAACCCTCTATCCCTGTGTTCATTATTTTCTTCCAATCTTCTTTTTCCTGCCCTCTCCTATCATTCTTCTTTTCCTCCCCTTCTCTAATGTCTTTCCATTGCTCCTTCAGCCTCTTCTCCCATATCTGAAAAAGCAGTGTTGCTATAACTAGCTACACTCAGGTTTGCTACCTGACAACAGCTAGCACAGGAAAACCATGAAGCAGGAAGAGCTGCTATTTCAAATCTCTGTATCAGCAGATGCTTTAGCAGAAGATGCAGCAAAAAATAGGATTGCCTTAGGAAGGTGAGCAAGTACCATCTGGGAGGAAGAGAAGGAAAGCTGAGAGATTTAAAGCAATTCTGTAAGATCACACTACCTGCAATTCAAAGACCACAGTGCATTTATTTCCCATACATTTTAAATAGCAAGTGACAGATTTGCAGCGTTGTATCATTAGTACTTATCTTCTAATATGATTAGATGCGGCACATCAATCTGGTTTTGGCAGGTATTAAGACATGTACAACAGGCATTTCTTCATAGGTTACTGTACTGAGCTATACTTTTTATTTCAGACATACACATGCACACAATTACTATTAAGAAACTTTCTATATATGTGAAACAGATTGAGTATATAGGTAAGCAAAAACCTCTAAAGCACAGTTTTGCACTGAAAGCCAGATGATACATTAAAAATGGCACCTTCCAAAGTATCCCTGAAAACTCAAACTTAGCAGTATTATTGTAATATATTAGCCCTGAAAAGTCAAACTTCAATAGGAAAGGGAACAGACTTTCCCTACATCTTGTGCATCAGAACTGCTCCTTTAGTGAACATACATAGAAATTAAGTCAAAAGTTGCACAAATTTTGTGATAGCTTGAGGACACTCAGGCAAAAGGCAGCTGTGGTTAGAATCTGGCCTACCAAATTATCATAGATATTCTCCTCCTTTATATGTCTGGAGAGCAACACAGCAGAAGGTCCTACCCATCACCAGATCCTATCAGCCACTATGCAGCACGCCCTTTCTCACCTAAATAGCTTACCAGCTAGCAATTGACCATGATGCATAAAGTGGAAAGAATCCAGCTTAACTGTCAAATCCCATGTATTTAGTGTTCAAGAGAAATATAAGAAGCGCTTCTGAATTGGCACACATGATCAGGAAATTACAGCATAACAAGTACAGAATACCAATGTGTTGTTTCTAATAGCAATAGAATGGACCTGCACTTTGGGTGTCGTGCATTCATGTGCCACACATGAGCCACTGTCACAGCCTGTAGTGGGCAGGCTCTTTGTGAGCTCCATAGGCAAGGAGAAAGTTCATTCCAAACCAGGCCCATCTAACTTGTTCTATAACAGGGGCTGAAATCAAAGAGTACATACACATCTATGCATCTTCTATGCAAAGTAAAACTTCCATCTCTTTCACCAACAAATTAGCTTTGTGTTGTAACTAATCTAGAAATAATTAACATTCAAATTTACAATGCTGCTTGTTCTGTTTTCTCTTCTTTTATCTCTATTTCCCTATCAGAGTTTGTCTTTTTCATCCTTTCTTCTGAATATCACATCCCAATTCCTAGCTCTCAAATAACCATGCTTCTGTCACACCCCTCTTCCTGATTTCAACCAGTAAAAACAACTTTCTCAGCCTTCTGGGTTGCCTCAGAAAGGTTTGAGTTTCATTTCCTTTTATGGCTGTGTATGTCACACTATGTATATAAAAATAGTAAAATAATAATACCTAACGTATAGTGGTCTAAGCACTCACCTGTTGCCTAAGCAACAAATAAATTAACCTGCAGAAAAACCCAACTTCATCCTCTTCATGCTGAGACATAGGTAACATACATTTCAAATTACCTAATGAAACACATTATGAAGAAAGGACACAGCAGGTACTAAATGAAGGCACAGAATGGGAAAAAGACAAGGCAATACCACATTTTCTGTATGAAACGAGAGCCTTACCATCCTGCTGGCCCTGGAGGTTCTGAGGACTTTGCATTCTCTCTTCCAGATTTGAGCTGAGGTCAGAGTTCACAGCTGACATCCTAGTGGAGTCACTCATATCAAACTCATCACTTTCTATAGAGCTTTCATCCTGCAAACGGAAAGTTTCAGAGACATGTCAGAAAACATCGTATGCTGTTCACATTATATGTGCAGTTCACTCGTTCCCATTTGTTTCACTCACACCTGGAGCGGGGTGTAATCATGCTAAATCTTTGTGTATATAAGCAAACAAGCAGAGCACATAAAGAAGAGCAAGGAAAACACAGTGTTCATGTGATATGATAATCTGACAAATGCAATTTGTTCAACTATGAGGATACTCCATTACCGCACACTTGTAACTGTTTCCCTAGTATTTTGCAAAAGAGGGCTAGTAAGTAGAGACCCCATACCAAGTCCTTGTTATTCAAATTTGGTTGAGGAGAGCTCTCCACATTCCCTACCTGAATCCTCTACCTTTCCCAAGCAAGGTCAGTAACCCCATGATGACCACTCACAGTAAGATATTTCCAAATGGCCGCTTGACCTAATAAGAATCCACCACCAAATTCCCTTGACATGATGTCACCCTTACACTGCTACTGTGTTTAAAGAAGCATCTATGAAAATGATAAAGCTTATAAAAGTTCTGAGCATATTCAAATGACAGTCAGTGGCAAACCGAAGTAATATAATCACATGAGAATCACTTCAAATTTATTCTACCTTATACATCTTTAATATGATTTATCCATCAAGTCTAATTACAAAGCATCTACTAGGGATGATAGCAGAGGGCAAAAAGTAAAAGTCCCAATCAAATATTTTGTCCCCATTTATAAAAGCAAAACAGGTTTGGACCTAGTCCAGCAAACATTCACGTACATGTTTAACTTCACTTGTTTCAGTCCCACTGAAGTTCATGCGTCCACTCATGGATTAAAAACTAAGCAACCACAAGTCTTGCTCTGTAAGCTGCTGAAGCAACATACAAACCTAAGGTGATATATTTTCAGTGACAATTTTTCTGAGATAATTACTCCTGTTATGAAGAAAAGCATTTTAAAGAACACAGAGGAAAATATGGCAAATAATTTTGTATTCCCTAAAGATCAGTTTAAAATACTTTTCTAATTAATATGATTTTTTATTTTTTTAGGGGAAAAAAAACCCAACTGACAGGATTCTGACTATTTTTCTGGGTTGCTCACCAGAATTGACCCAGAAAAACAGCAATCTTTAGAATATGATTTGCTGTGTACTTGTTGTGAACTGGTTTCTACAGATACTAAATGTAGCTGCTTTCTTCTTTCTGAGTGCTTGGCCTTTAAATCAATTCCTCTCTTGGGTCTCAGCGATGTTTCCAGCTTGCAGGGGCATTTCTCTCATTTTCAGAAGGCAAGTTCCCTGCAGTCACGACTCTTGTTAAACCGGGATGAAGTACTGCCAAATGCCATTCAGGAGCGAGAGTGGGACAACACACACGGCAATACTGTTTTGCACTGTCATACCAGGACAATGACAAATAACAAAACAAACATACTTTGTTCTCAAAGTTTTGTAAAGCACTAAACGGAAGAGTGAGATCTTCTCTAGTGGGCACCTGTCTGCCTTGCTCAGATAAGGTGGGAGCACCCCAGCTACAGCAGCAGCAAATACCTGAACCCTGCCCTCACACAAGAACCATGGTGCCCACTAGCCTCCTGCCCCAGAGAGAGGGGGCCAAGGCACATGCTGAGCTGATTCTGAGGTTTAGGAAAAATGCACACTGCTTGTTCAAAGAGTAAGATCAGAACACAAACTCCCCCAGACCTTCTGGAAGGCTGGGCCTCTGTTAAGACACAGTGGTATTTCTCATTGAATCCTGTAGGAACCAGCAAGCAGCAGCTTACGTTTTCCAATTCTGGGGTTAGGGCTCCCAGAAGAGGAGCTCTGGCTATCCAGCGCTAGCATAGGTATAAAACAATACACATGGGCAGGCCTGGGTTTGCCTACAGCACTCTGCAGAATATCTCCACCTCGCTTCCCAACCTGTGTAAACATTCATCTGAATCTGCGTGGACACACAGGCATGGGGAAAGGAGCTGGGAGCCACTGGCATCTTTGCACTGGTTGTAGCACAGCTGCAAATTCCTACACAGCGATGAGTTCTCCTGTTAGATGAAGCCTGTTTCCCTTTCAACGATGGCCTCAGCTTAAAAATGATGAATTGAGGATGAGAGAATTAGGAGGCTTTCAGTCACTGTGCTAGCTAGTCGTGGGATCCAAGTTTACTCCTGTCTCATTTCCACCCCCTCCACAAGAATACAGATATGATTGATGAAACCTTGGAAACAGAGTCTTCCTACAAACCCAAGCATGTTTTTCAAGTACATTAAATAGCTGGAACGTATGCACCAAAAATCTTTCTGCTTTGTACTACACCATTTTCATTTCCATTTTGTTCTCAGTGCAACAATGTACAGCCTGAAGGAAAAAGAAGTTCTTAACAAAACTGCCTTGAGCAAAGATGTAGAGATTATCTTGAGGACTTTCCTTGTGTCCACTCTGCCCTGGCAAAGACATTGTTACTAAAACATATCAAAAGTTACTTTTATCTTCATAAATCCAGTGCTACAAACATTTCATACACAGTAACATTAGAGCTGCAAAACTGAGCTGGGCAGGGAGACAGCAAGCAATGGCACTTCTTGCTGCCACCATATCATCTCCCCTGGTTCACCTAGATGAAAAAACTGGTTTAACACAAATTTCAGCCATCAGACCAGAAAGACTACACCTAAACATTCAGGCTGTAGAGGCACTGCGGCAGGTGGCCCTGATCCAGCATCAGCCCTTGACCCTGTTGTGGGTGGAGTAATTCTCAAAGGGAAGAATTGGAAAAAACAAAGAGTCCTTTAACTCCTAAGGCTGCTGCAAGGATAAAGCTCTTCTCTCCTGCTGCTTGAAACCCTGCTGCCAGATCCCTAAAAAGGGGCAGCATGCAGAAGGGAGGCTCAATAGGAGGGAAAGATGACCATGCTGTATTTGTGCATGAAGAACTCTGAGTCAGGGATCTCTCCCCACACCCTCCACAATTAAAAAAAAAGGCAAAAGCAAAACAAGGATCCTGATATTTCTAAAAGATTGATGAAATCCCTGTTCTATGGGGTTTTGAATAATTCATAAATCTCCACCAATAGCCCATATCTACTTATTATGAAACCAAATCTGGCTGACTCCACAGAAGTCAGGAGTCAGTCAGGGTCTTTGACATAATCCAGCTGCTAAGGTTGTTTTTGAAGGTTTTCTTTATTAAAAAATATGTTGCAGTCAGGCAGAAGGACACAGCGTGTAGGACTGCTTTTTGGCTGGCACATAGCTGGGCTTCTAACTATTTGGCAGCTGAAATGGTAAATGAACACATTTCTAGCAAAATTAGTTTATTACAAATAATTTGGTAGGTGCTATCCAATTGATGAAGCACTTAAGATCTGGAAAAACTCTGAATAAATCACAGAAAGAAAATAATTTTTTAGAAGTAAATACCATTCAATTCCAATTCTCTCTGAAGAAGCTTGATTCTCAGCCTACTTCTTTTCCTTTTGTTTCCTGTCTTTTTATTCAGTTTCAAAAGCAACCCCTACTCTTATTTATCAAGCTTTTTGCCTTAAAGATTTCAGCTGATGTTGCCAAGATTTCCATCTATCTCACTGTAATGTGTTGCATCCTGGCTGCTAAAGTTGAGAACACCATGGCATTCATTTCAGCTGTTGATGGTATGTTTTCTAGAAGTAGACAATGAAAGTCACTGCTGAACACAGCACTAAGTCTTGGGTGAACATGCTACCCCTGTTATCCTTTCTGCTGGTCCAGACAGTAAAAGGGCACCTTCAGGTAATTTGAAGCAGTACGGCATATTACCCCCAGCCATGGAAGGGTGGTAAGTCATTACATTTTCTCTCAAGCTGATTACTTGCAAACAGCCTTGGTTTGGTTTCAGACTGGCTATTTTAGCAACAAAATTATAAAGATGGGATCAACAATCATCTTCAGTTCAGTTTCCTGGCTACCGCAAAGACAAGTACCAAAGAACACAGGAGAACAGAAAACCAAAAGATTTCAGGTTTTACCTCATCTTGCTGTGAATTTAGTAGCTGCAGCTTCATGTGTTTCATATAAGCCATAGTAATTGGCATGTTGTAATCAATCATACTGGTCACCAAAGTTGGAGGTTTTCCATTATCTGCAACAAAAATATTTATTATACATTATATGTTAATTGCGGAGGCTACATCAGCCTACTCTGCAGTCAAAGTCAGACAGTTATGTCATTTAGTTCTAACTTTGGCATCTTCAATCGCTTGTAGGCTGTACAGATGGAAGTCTCCCGAAGAAAAATGAAAATCAAGTTCAAACCCTGAAAAGTGATGAGTTCTTCTTCCCTAAATGACTACAGCACATGCACCCTATCTATTCCTTATGTTTAAGCCCCCATATAAACATTTCCATAGCAAAATAAATTATTTCCTCCAGATAAAATCATCTTTCTGTTGAGGGTGCATATGGTATTACACTCCATCCTTAAGTGAAAGCAGAAGATTCACTACCTTCCAGCTTAAGTAAATGAGATGATCTAAATTACTGAACTGTTCCAGTCTACCAAATTTTTATGAACCCTCACTTAAGCTAGGAAAATATAAATGGGTATTAGGAGTAAAATTACTTTACATCCCACTATTTGACACTAAAACTACCTTTATGATCCGCTCCATCTGGGTTTAAATGCATTCTTTTCTGGCACTCTGAGCAGCTCATTAGAAATCGTGTCACCGCTTCTCTCGGTAGGAAGGCATAGGTCTCTGAAATCTGAAATGAATAACAAAATATAGGTGTTATTATATAAGCTGATTGAACATGATTTAACAGAACTGATCATTATATTTCCAAATAAGGCATATTATCTTATAATGCCAGGAAGCACAATGAAAGCATGTTCTGCATACTATGTAGGATTTCAAGAAACATCTATCCAATCTGCCTACTTATCATCTAATGCCTAATAACAGTTGATACTGAACAAAATTTCATTTATATCAAAAGGGGGTTTGTGTTCTGTCTACAGGTTTTTTTCAAATTCCTCTCAGCAAAAAGATTCATACATAACAGGCATCCCACTGAGGGTTGTTTTTAAAAAAAGTTGAAAAGCAACCTTTTTCTTATAACCAACACCAAAACCAGAAAGTGCTTGGCTTATGTGCTCTATTTATTTTTATTGTAACAACAGGTAGACAGATATAGGACTCAGTGTATTAGCAGCAATGACAGTCTCCCTACTATTGTAAATTTGTATTTGAATGTTTTGCAAAAATATTCTTGGAAAGCTCGTGATTTAATACTATGGAGTAAATATGTTATTTTTACTAATAGTTATAGAATTTCAGAATTGCTGGATTTTAAAGACTCTCGTTTACCTTGAAATAACAGATTTTGGTTGTTTCCTCATTTCAACGTTATCATTCTTTCCAACCACATACTCACAAGCAGGCATCAGAGGGATTTTTTTTCTTTTTTGAAAGGGGAGAGGAGGAAACAGGTATTGCTGGTTTTGAAGATTGCATTCCCCCCACCCCCAAGGATGCATACATCTTTATAGACATTTTGCCTTGGTGAAAAGGACCTGGAGGTTGGCGCCAAGCTGAAAATGAGCCAACAGCATACTCTCTGATCACAGATAAAACCCATCTCATACTGGCTATGTTATGTGTATGGCCAGCAGATAAAGCAAAGTTATTATCCCTCTCTACTCAGTGCTGGTAAGACAGCAGCTGCAATAATGTGGCCAGGTTGCCCCTCCACAGTTCAAGAAGGCTGCTGAGGAGTACAAGCAGGCTCTGTGGCAGGCCACCCTGGCAGCTGGAACCTAAAGGAAACCTTCAAGGAAGGGTTGAGGGAGCTGGATTTGTTTTATGTAGCTTATGAGGCAGAGAGAGATCTAATTGCAGCCCACCACTGCCCAAAGGGGAGTTAAAAAACTGGGGAGAGAAATTCTTCACATGGTATAACCAAGGACAACAACCACCAACTGCGGTTTGAGACATTCAAACCGAACATCAGCAGAAACTTCTTCACTAAGAGGCCAGTGCACAGGAGCAGCTTTACCAGATGAGTGGAAGAATCTCCAGACTTGGATGTTTTCATGACATTACAAGGCAAAGCCATGGCTTTTCTGTGATTCATTATACATGTTGATGTATATACACTGAACAGTGCAAGTATTGTAAGGAATCTCTAGCCTTTCTTTTCCCAACCAAGGTGGTTGCCTTGCAATGGAGACAACCCCTAAAGAAAGACAAAGTCCCTGCAAGAGAGATTAAAAGAGTCAACTGATATTTGCTTGTATTCCCTTATTGTAAAACCTACAGCAGGACTGGATTTCCTATCAAGCCCTGCATTGATGCAAGTCTCTGTAGGAAGTGCAGAAGGATGGAGGTGGGGTGTATCAAAGTGTGGATACAGAAAGGACAAGGTAACTTTCTTTAACTGGATGTAAAATGGTATTCCATACTGTGTAAATCACTCATGCTCCTCACAAGGGTGCTAAAAGGAGGAGCAATGGCAAGTTTTAACTCTCTTACACTCTTCTCCTTGGCTCGTCACCTACTTAATCTGTGTTGAAACTTATGTTTCCTAAAACTCCACGGACCAAATTTATCATGACAGTATTTTGGAAAATAGGTGGAGTTTAAATTAGTGTTTGTTGATATGACATGAGTCATGGAAATACATGAAAACGATGCATTGTAAAATAAGAACGCAAATTATACCATCCTGTTTATGATATTGTTTAGGCCATTTATTGTTGTTGTTTTCTTATATAACAGAAATCTTATTTTGAGGGGGAGAAGGCAATTAGTATAAAAGCAAAATTTGTTCTGTGATGAAAATTGGTAAAGATTTTCTCTGGGCCTGAAAAAAATTATCTGAAAATGAAGGCGCTAAATGAAGCCATTTTTGAATGGGAGATGCTACCAAAAAAATTTTTTTCAGATTATTTTTCCTGGTTTTTATAACACAGAACAGATGTTTATTTACCTTTCTAAATATGAAAACATTGGTTATACTCATGCCGTATGGAATCTTAAAAAAGAACTTAAAATCAGCTAGAATTTAGCATTAAGAAAATTGGTAAGTGCACATACACAGCAACCTCTCTCTCGTAACATTTAACACATTTAGCACTGTATTGAAATTAATGGAGCTTACCCATGGATTCATTAGTTGTCTGCATTTGATAGGAATGCTCCATTTATTCTAATCAAGCATCTCTGTCAAAATTCCGGTTCTGCTCAAACAAGACGAAAATACTCCACAGAAAGCAAGTGAGCTAAGGCCTAGATTTGATAGGTATGCTCCACTGACTATAAGGGAACCGGGTTTTATAACTAAATTTGTCCACATAGCAGATGCTTGTGTCTCCAGCCTCCCACTGCAACACAGTTTTAAGGATGCCCTTCCCTAAATAACACCAGTTTTCACCAACTTCCTCCCCTGTTTATTTTGCAATTTGAATCAAGACTTCAGCCTGTATAAATTGCCATAACACAACAGGTATGATATTAAAAGAGATACATAGAGGATATAACCTGCAGCTTTCCTTATTCTTGCTGCTTGAATATACACAAAAAGCTCTTTCCAAGTTTCAATGCCAGAAAGCTTAGAAAACCTCCCCCCAAACCTCACGTCCCCAACAGTGCAGACTTCTGTTTGCCTTTCTCATTAAGGAAGGGCACATCTACTTCATAAGATGCAGATAGCTGCTTGCTCACTCTGGCCATGCTCCGAACCAGCTGGCTTAGCATCAGCTGTAGCCGGGAAGCTCTCTAACCACATTAGCACAAGGCTGAACACAAAATCCTGTATTTCACCCTTCAGCAGAGTTTACCAGCTTGTGCACAAGGTTGGGTTGATGTAGTTCATGGAGCTGGCTTGCATGTGAGTATTTCAGAGCACAACCTGGAGGCCTATGACACTTTTTAAATAATTATACAGAAACACCTTAGACAGTGGTCTGACTTCATCAGGAAAATTTGTTTCTGTCCTCTATTCTATCTGAAGGAAAGCAATAATGACTCAGTCCTCATTGATGCTGTATATTCTCACTGCCTTCAGTAGCCCTGCTCCTAGCTCTCTTCTCAAGGCCATTAGCTAACAAAAATATAGCCAGACCATCTCATTCAGTGACGTGCTGCAATAAAAGAATATTGTTTTATTGCAATTCTACACAAAAAAAACCAAATGCACACAATTCTAAATTTTAAGAAAAAATAAAGCCAGAAAAGTGAATTGAAGTGGGTGATATTGCATTGTTTACATCCACATACTAACAATGCACACCGGCATGTTTTTGGCACGACTTACAAGAAACTGCTCACACACATGCCTGTACCAATCAAAGAACAATCAGTGCTGATTTACCATATTGATAAAATTACTTGCATTGCTTGAAAAAAAAAGTAAGTATACTTTTTTCAAATATGAAGCTTTAGAAGTATTCTTATGGGTTTCCTTATTCTTACTAGTGGTTTTATTACACATTAGCATATCTTCTGTTGCTTGTAGAAACGTGTTATCTTGCATCTGGACGTATTCTGTATCACGGACAAATTAGAAAATAAGCAAATCCTAGCAGGTTGGTGTTTAGGTATTGTGTACTAGGTATAGCTCTTACAGCTGAATGTTTTTTACATTGTAAAGGGAAAAAAATTATATGAAGAAGAAACTAGATGTCTGGAGCATTAAGCAAAGAGTGCAAAACTCATACAGGGTTTGTTTTAGCCCCCAAAGTTACAGGATAAGAAGCAAACATTTCCTAACAATACAGTCCATGTGCACCTACACATATCTCATTTTAACTCTGAACTGAGAGGAAAATAAAAGGAGTTGACTTCAGCAACTTCGGAGTCAAAACTTTTATGAGCTTATTTCATTGTTCACAAAAAGTCTATAGTAGATTTTGACATATATCAACCCGTCCAAAACATCACCCAGCAACAAAGGCCTTCTAGACCTATAATTGACCTACACGCTATTTACTGGATCCCACGAAGAGCACAACTACTACAAGGCAAGTAATCCAGTACCTGAGCATGTAATCTGATTTAGACTGGAGCTAAGTGATGCATGCCCTAATTATCTATGAGAAGCATATTGCATTCCTACTCCATCACTGCAGGCAGAGAAAACAGGCAGTCTCTTTTATGCTCTCCAATATTCAGATTATTTAAGTGCAGGATGTTGTGATGATGTAGCTTTCAGAGCTACATTTTTATTTGGAAAATTAACAAGCTCTAAACTGAAAGGCAGATTTTAGGACACATATGGCAGAGCAGGAAAGACAAGTGTGAGGAGAGGGAGTGAAATTTTGCAAGTGAACCTATTAACCCCTAAAGAATTAACATGGAGGATGTATGTGTAGTCTGGAAGATACGATGTGTCAGAATAGAGAAATTTTTTTGGTGTGTGTGTTTATTTTTTTAATTAAGGAGGGTAAGGGGGCGAAGATGATCGAAAGAAGACTTCCAAGAGGAGAGAAAGAGAGACAGGGAGAGTGAAGACAGTAATCCGTCCTGGGCCCACAGCCATCAAACCAGGTGGCAGAAATTGGTTTCTTGATGACAGGAGGGCAAGCCAGCCAAGGAAAGTCCTCTCCTTTCCTCATCAAGAGGTCAGAATAGAAGGATGGCATAAGAAAGCAGATATATTACTGCTGGGAGTTTTATCAAGAGCTCACTACCCTGCTATACTGGGGAAAATGCTGTTCCCTTTCGTGCTAAACTTGCGCTTCACAGCTCCCTTCCCTCCCTGTG